CTCTGGACTGTGGTGGCACAGTGTGGCACAGGCAGCCTGTGCAAAATGATGGCATCTGAATGAGATCGGTGCCAGTCGGCTTGGAGCACAGAGAGGTCCAGGGTTACCCTGCAGGTGCCATCCCTGAGACTGCGAGCCACAGCTCTGCTGGCCTGATCGCTCGAAGCTCGTTATTCCACCCTCCCTCTTCGCTCCGTGATCTAGAGGCAGAACTTAGAGGGCTGCTGTTGAAGTTACTTTCCTCTGGGACTGCGTAGCAAATTATTTTGGAAGAATGGATGTGTTTTCAGGGATCCCTGCGGTGAAAGGCTACAGTCACATAAGGACAAAAGAGCAATTTTACCACAAAGCTCCAGGCAGTACTTATAGTATTTGACTTCAGAATTCTAAGCAGCTTTGAACAGGCATCGTTCTGAGGGATAAAAAAAGTGTACAAAACTGATTTTGTCATTTAATTGTTTCTTTGGCACTGAAGCTCTTTTTCCGTGGGCTCAGAAGTGCGTTGTGGTATTTGTCTTTCGCCTGCTCTGCTGAGTAAATGAGTGGGATGCCTGTGTGTGAGTGAGTTGGATCTGAGCTGTGCCAGTCTGTAAAGTCAGCCCTCTGCTGATGTGAATGCTTTGACTTGGGTCGAACTGCGGCATTACGTAGCCTTTACTTTACTTTACTGAAGTGTGAAATCTCTGTTGTCTTGGTGTGAGCGCTTCACGTCTCTGGGACTGGTTGACTTACCCCCTCTGTCGTCGTTGTTGTTTCTCTCTCCAGCTGCTGGTCTGTACTACCTGGCTGAGCTAATAGAAGAGTACACAGTAGCCACCAGCAGAATCATAAAGTACATGATATGGGTAAGTGGGACGCGGTGTGCCTTTCGGTGTCAGTGGCGACTATCCGTGTGACCCCTCTGTTCAGCCAGCAGGCCGGTTTCTTGAGGATACATCGTGCTCACCTGACCTGTGCTGTGCTGGACTGATCATCGTCCTGAACAAGACTGGCATGTTGGATAATATTGGTCCCATTCTGAGCACCAAGAAATATGACGTGATAGTCTGAGACAGGTGTGGGAAGGGTTTACTAAACTACCTTGGACATGAGCACCTGAGTGACGCGGACACATTTAACTTGGCGTCTCATTTAAAAAATGGGGCTATTTCAACGGGCCATAGTTCGGGTTTGCCTGTATTTGTCATTGCAGTTTGGATCATGGATTGCTTTGCTAAAGGTAAATGAATATGTACCTCCTGGGGAGCCCCACCCCTGGTCTCTGTGTGTCTTTGACATCCACTCTTCCGTTTCTCACTGTCCGGCTTTCCCATCTCTTTTCTCTCCCCTTCTTCCCCTCCTGTCCTCGTTGTGTGCGTCCCGGCCCCGTGGTGCGCTGCGCCTGCAGTCTGACAGCCGGCCTCTCTTGCTCTCGACAGTTCTCCACCGCGGTGCTGGCGGGGCTCTACCTGTTCGAGGGGTTTCCTGTGCTCATGGTGGGGGTGGGCCTCTTCACCAACCTGGTGTATTTCGGCCTGCTGCAGACCTTCCCCTACATCATGCTCACCTCGCCCAACTTCATCCTGTCCTGCGGTGAGTCGGGATGCAGCGGCACACTGTACGTCCAGTACCAATATTAAAAACTGTTTTTTGTGAGAAGGGAGTATTTGTACTGAACCAGTTAGGGCGCTGGCTGAGGTGTTCCAGACGGCGCAGGTTCGAGCCTGGGTGGACGTGTCACTAGCAGACTGTGACCGGGATTCCTCATGTGGAGTGAGATTTGTTGGCCTGGGTCTCTCAGCTACACAGCGCCCCCCGAGGGCTTGCAGCCTGTGGGGCGCTCCTCTGCTCCCGTCAGCACTGAGCCTCCAGGACGTAGCTGTGTCGCCTGTGACTTGTTAGAAGACGGGGGACCCGAGGGTGGGCAGTTCAGAGTTTTTAGCTTATACCGACTTGCTTCTGACTTGATCCCTGTCTCCCGCAGTCCTGGTGGTGGTGAATCACTACATGGCCTTCCAGTACTTTGCAGAGGAGTACTACCCCTTTTCTGAGGTGAGAGCTCCGCCGTCTGCCGAAACGCTCTGGGCTCACTCAGGTCTGCCCTGCCGGTTCACGTGCACAGAGCTGCAGGGACAATGAGGGGATTAAACCTGAGGCAGCAAACTCATAGCAGATGCTCCATGACAAAACCAGCAAGTGAAACATGCAGCACAGTGCAAGAAATTCTTCAGCATTCAGTCTGCCCCTGTACAAGTCTGTCTTGGCACGATCTGTAGTTTGTCTGATTTTGTTGCGGGCAGAAAGGTTTGAGCAAACATTTACACTTAAAGTGACAAATATTATTGAAGTCCAAAGCTGGCAACATGAAGGGGATATATGGAGGCATTTGGCATAAGAAAATTCTTCTTTGTATTTCCTCACTAATATTTTAGTGTCTTCCCATTTCACAACACAATTCTGCATGTCACCTATGCTGCCCAGCAAAAGAAGTGTCCCTGTATAATAGCCCCAGATTAACCAATGCCTGAATCCTCCGGTGAGGTAAATACCTCTGAAGTTGAATTGCAGCTCCACATTTCTGCTAGCAGTGTTGTGCACCCATGGAGGACACTGGTCCACAGATCACGAATGTTGATTTTCTGGTTTTTCCCCAAACACCAGAAGATATCCTCTTTATCTTGTGCTTTTCCTCTGTGGAGCTGTGGCTTCCCAGAGTCTAATCTGTAACCCGTGATGAGGCACGATTCAGGGCAGAACAGACACACTGCTCGGTTTCCTCCCTCTTTATAGACATTACAGCCTCGTGATGGGTGATTGGTCTCAGGCTCCGGTTTTCATCCTGTGAAGTTCTTGAAGTTGATCACTTTGTCCCTTGACAGCCTCGTTAAGAGCAGATCAGTTACTGTTGTTGGTTTCAATCCCTTTAGTACGTTAACTGACCTTGAAGCAGTTTGGTGACGGATGCAGACCTGCATGGTTCAGATAACTTATTCCAGTAATGATTCCAAACACTCCACAACGCAGTTAAACACTGACACTATGTGTATTGAAATGTGTCGGTATATTTGCTCCTCTGCAATCGCCCTGCTTGCTCGAGTGAGTGAAGGGTCTTGTAGAGGGCGGGGCTGGTTGCTTGTTCTCCAAGCTTTGTTTCTGAACTCCAAGGTCCTGGCCTACTTCACCATCTGCCTGTGGATCATCCCCTTCTCCTTCTTCGTGTCCCTGTCGGCGGGGGAGAACGTGCTGCCATCGACGGTGCAGCATGGAGGTAGGGGGGCTCTTGCGCTGGGGAGGGGGTATGGGGGCTCTGCACTGGCCCATGGGAACCGGTGCAAAGGAATCACACTGCCAGCCTACTGCTGCACTACTGAGTTAATGGATTTTCAAAGTAGAAAACACTGAATCTTCGCCAGATTTAGATGCATTGTGTAGTTTAATGTAGTTAAGGGCTGGGTATTGTATGCAGCTAGCAAAAACTAACTTCAGCTATATAAAATGAAGAACGCAGAGCTGCACAGGTAACATAACCTATTCCAGTAATTATTCCAAACACTCCACAGAGGATATGACAAAGAACTGGGTTAATGTGGACACATTTACCTCTTGTCCACAAAGTGGAAAAGCAATAAAAAGGCAAACTGTTAAGATATATTGTATACCTAACACAGAATTCAAATCAAGGCATGTTAAAATTGTACAATGTATTTGTAAGACCCGATTTACAATATTGTGTATCGGGTGAATTGTGATCACCACGTTATAGAAAAGATATTGCTGCTCTGGCATCTATCCAAAGAAGAGCAACCAGATATGCGCTGGGGCTTAAGAGAATGTCCTACACTGACAGCGTGAAGGAACTGAACTCTTTAAATCTCGAACAGTTTCATTTTCTAACCGGTATAACCAATACAGGCAAGCAACAGGCATGAGGCGGGATACACCCTGGATGGGACGCCAGTCCATCACAGGGCTCACACAGACACACACACTCACCCCAGGACTGGTTTTCCCAGAAGCCAGTTAACCGATCAGTATGTATTTGGACTGAGAGAAGAAACTGGAGCAATGAGGGTACCTGATACAAGTATTCAAAATCCCCAAAGTCTTCTAATTCAACAGAGAGACATGAATCAGAGGACATCACTGAAAACTAGGTGAAGGTGGGGGAATGGAAGAGGACCCAGAAATTAGATTGAATTAGATCCTGAGATTGATTAGTGCACTGCTTCTTGGTAGTCCCCGTAGTTACATTTACAACGGTACAGTATATAAACAAAATGGGGACCAAGTAGCAATGAAGACTGCCTGCAGGAACAAGACTCCGCATGTGCAGGGAACAGGAGCAATAAGCGAATCGGTGTGTGTGAGAGTCGAGGACACAGTGAGGGACTAAGTCTTCACAGAGGTCTGCTGAACACTGACAGGGCTGGCACAGAAGCACAGCCCAACAGCCAGACTTCGATGTGTCTCACAGGGACTGATGGAAACAGTGTAGCACAGCTCTGACACTTATGATACGGAGCGAATTGTATCTGTTGGGGTATAAAGGGTCTTGGGGTTAATTTTGGAGCAACGGCATTCTGTGCTACAATGTTTAGCCTTCGTCTGTGTGCTCAGCCGGGGTGCAGCTGTTGAGCTGCGATCGTGCATGAAGGTTCCCTGCCGCTGTCTGACTGTGCCCCCTCTGTCCTGGCAGATGATGTGGTGTCCAACTACTTCACCAAAGGCAAGAGGGGCAAGCGCTCTGGCATCCTGGTGGTCTTCTCTTTCCTGAAGGAGGCGGTGTTGCCCAGCCGGCAGAAGATGTACTGAGGGAGAGAAGTCGTGCCGCGGAGGAGAGGACTGGGGGCCTGCAGGATCTGCGCTGGGGGTGGGGGGAGGAGGGATGGGGCCCGAGGATCACCAGCACAGACCAACGGCCGGCCCGGCCTGCACGTGCCACTCTGATCATGCGCCCGAGGACCGCCGCCAGCAGTGCCTCCGGGAGGACCCCTCACAATCTGCGTTGGGAGTTTCTTATTTTCTCTGTTTTTTTTAGAACTGGTTATTGAATCGTCATTCTGATCTGGGAATGCAAGGACCTTGGATGATTAAGAAATGAGAGACTGTGACCAGTCCAGCAGCTGCGCTGCACAGTGGATTTGAAAGTGCTTTCCCAGCCAAGAGACTGGACTACCTGCCTGTGTGTCTGTGACTCTTGTCGCCTTGTGTATCACGTATGTAACAGATTCTCTTTCTGGTTTTCATTAGAAACCGGAAGGACTAATGGAGCAACAAAAATTAAACCGCAGTCCATTTCTCTGGGGCTCAGTACCATTTGTGTTGTTGTGTTGGGGTTTTGCCACTCTGCAGGCACTTGAGAAGTTTGGGACAGGAGGCTTTAGTGGTGTGAAGGGCTGAGGAACAGACTGAGATTTCTTAACACTCTAACCTGGCATCTGTGCCAGAAGAGAACTGCAGCCTGATGCTCAGATCATGC